CTTAAGTCCAACATAAATGAATGACAGCAATGTCAGAAGCACTGACATTTGTGTTGCTAGTATGAGCCACATTATCATGAAAAGCTATTCTCTATAACTAAATGTCTTAAGAATTTGGAAAAAAAAAAACAAAAAACAAAACTAAGTACCAGGAAGACCAAGGAAAAGTGGATGAGGCACAGAGACATCAACTAAAGATGAAATGAAGCTTTCATGAGTACCAGTAATAATAAATACTATTATTTCATATCTGTATCTTTTGTATGACATACATAAATGAATGAATAAATACTGTTATTTCATACCTCTCCCTTTTGTATGACACACAATGGTTATATGTATATACACAATGTTTATAAATAAATATTTGGGGTAAATGTGAAAGGCTTATTTGGTAATGGAATGCCTATAAAGAAAATGCATCAGCCACAACCTAGATTTAATTCTGTTTGCCCCCAGGTAAGTAGACTGGGTCCTGAGCAGGCCTTTCACTTTATTGCATACCCTACTTACTAGGCTCAATACATGGTTAAATAAATATACTCATGACTTTCCTATAAAATACAATTCCTATTTACATTTCTACAAATTCTGACAGTAAAGTATCATACAAAATATCAAGTTGTAGATTAACTCTACGTTGCTCATTCATGATGTGAGTACTGTTCCCAGACTGATTTTAGTGGTATTTCAAAATATTTTTACTGATTTAGAAATCTAGCCTGTATCAGAATCCATTTGAAAGGCTTATGCTTGTGCCCCTCTCTCCCTTTAATGTTAAAAGAACAAGAAAAATAAGACAGAATTTTATCTGGGCACACAAAAGTCATGCTTTTCAGGGCAAGCCTCTCAGATAGCTGTAAGAAGATATTATTCTCAGGAATCCACTTTCAACTACTAAACATACATGAAGTCTGCAGTTAAATTAGCATCACAGAGGACAAAAGAATGTTAAGTGGTCTTCAGAATTAAAAGCAAGAGTTTGTCAGCCTGAAGGAGGATCAGCTGAAATGATATCCTATCCGCACATGTTGTTCGAAGAGGAGACATTAAAATGAAAAAGATGGGGGAAAAAAGAACCAGAAAAGAGAGAAGCAGTCGTTTCTTTTTTAATCTAAGCTTCATCCCTAGAAGAGAATCTCATTACACTGGACATTTTGAATATTGGATCGGAACTGATGATGTGTCTAAGGTATGTACAATGACATTTAAACAATGATTGATTTATCACTGTACAGAATTCTCATCTACTAACTCTATGCTTTTTTTTCCCCAAGAAACTTATTCACATATTCATTCAGTTCAGAAGATTGGATCCACACAAGTTAACTCAATGTAAAAATCTTCAAAGCAAGAGCCAAAAACAGGATGACAGGTTTATAAAGCTTGCCTGGGTTTGACCTCAGAATAGAAATGTCTACTCTCAGGCAAGTTCCACCATTTTTTTTCTGGTGTACACCTGAGCTGCAGGAGCCAGCTATGAAAAATTCATGCAAGATGCTTCCACAGTCCCACCTATGTCCTTAACATCTGCCAGCTTCACATCACATTAAAACTTCAAAGTGAATCCACCCCTGAGATGGCAGCAAGCTTTACTTGGAACCATGAGGGTAGATAGTTCAGAGAAGTCCTCCCCTTTCTGACAGGAGTATTTGTGTGGCACATGCTGTAATTTATCTTCTTAACCACACAAAAGGGGGAGAAATGTTAAGAGATAATAATGCCAGCTACTAAACATGCACAAAACAGCAGGTAGTACCATTATGGGACTAGATTTCACTTCTAGCCATCTTGCTTTTATGAAAAAGAAAAAAAAAAAAAAACCCGACATTTCCTTTTATCTAAACCCTCATTATCTTTTGCTTCCTATAAAATTCAAGTGTAGCCAAAATATTTAGCAAAGGTATTAAGGTTTCTGAATTTTCCAGTACAAGGCTATTTGTGAAACTACATTATTTCCTTCCATTAGCTGGGTGAGAGTTTATCACTCATTTAGAGGTTTTGAGACAACGGTTGTCAGTCCACGATGGCAGAGCTGTCCCTGCAGAAGGAATAGTTTATTATTACAACAGAGGGTGAGGCTATATGCCACTCTCCAATTTTAAACAAATTACAATACAATCCACCAATAATTTAATTTTTAGTTCCCTACCACCCCAATCTTATTCATCACATACAGTTTCCCT